ACTCAACTCTATTAATTAAGAATGTAGGGACTGAAATCCCACTAATGAAAAGAGATAAAATAAGATGCAGGTTGATGAAATAAAATAAACTCATTGGTAATTACAAAAATGAAAGATAAGTTGCATGCAGCACACAACTGCATCAAATGCTAATATCTAAACACATTGATTAACCTAATCTGCTTCGTCAGGAACAGGCAAGTAGGGATGCAAGGATAGGCACAATTATCTAATTTATTAGATAGATTTCTTTCGTAAAACCAATCTCTAACTGTCTTTGCAATTTTCTACATAAAACATTTATAATTACTTCCATTACAGAAAATATATTTAATCATAATCAAATAAATAAATTAGACAATAAATGTTGTATTGTATTATCAATAATAGGTGCACTATCACGCATCCATGTATCTTCACCTCCAGTTTGGCAATGAGCATAACATGAATCTAGAAATAATCCATTTTATTTGTTATCCATAACTGGTTTCCATCCATTAAGAACTTGGTATCAGGAACTTTGAATGATATTGAGTTGAGGTTGTAAGCACGTTTTGAAGTCAAGTTTACAAGTGTCCCATTGCCTCACGGTATCAACAAAACTCGTGTAACACCCCGTTCACCACTGTGTTTATTTCATATTTGGAAAACCCTAATTATTCGGCCCTTAAGGCCACACTAAACTCATTTATTTTATTCCGCAGCATATTATCGTAACTCATGAATTATGCTAATTTTTATTTATTTTGATTTTATTTAATTTTATTTTCATTTAATTAATTTAATCGTCGAGAAGTGTGCCACCACCCACCTCGGGCGGTGTGCTGCCACCAGTATAGGTGGTCGTTTTCCTTTATTTTTCATACCAAACATCTTTTTACTCTTTCTCTTCACCGAATTTTGCCACTTGGTTTAAATCCAACGACTCCCATTTTCTATAAATAGGGACCCTTCTTCCCATGTTCTCTACATTTCCATTCTTCCACCTTTCAAGAGTTAGAGAGAGAGAGAAAGAAAGTGATCTAGAGAGAGAAAGGAAGGAAGAGAAGAAGAATGGTGTAGAAGAAATTATTAAAGTTTCGGTGAGGAATTTAGTATTTTTTCAAATATTTTAAGGGATATTTTTAGAGAAAAAAAAGGAGATTAAATCGATAATTATGTGATTTTGCCTGTTTTGCATGCTTTGTGTTAGTAGGCTTAATAAGTTAAGTTGTTCTTGATTTTAAGTATGCTCTGAGAGTGATAGACACTTGATAATTTGCATGTAATTAAAATAATATGAAATTGGTAAAGTTATTTGAAAAATAAAAAAGAATAAAAAGGAAAAGAAAAATGGAATAAAGCGTTAATGGTCTAAAGTTTCTATATATTTTGACATACATAACGCATCAAGTGTCTCGTTAGGCTTTTTATCTCTGAGGGGTATCTGTTTTCCTCTCCCCCATCTGATCTGAAAAGACATAAGAGAACCACTTCTTGTGGATGACGGCGTACTCTCTGACGAGAGTGGTGACATGAATATCTGTTAGGGGTTACCTTTGACTAAGTATTGTCGTGACCATACAATATCTGATAGGACCACTATGGTTATTATGACTGTGGTCATAGATCGTGCCATGATTTGGCAAGCCGGAAATGTGCCTGAGCAAATTGCCGTTATCTGTATCTTATCTGGTCATTCCACATGGATAGTAAAAAATTTGTATATACCTTCAAATATGAAAGTCATAACGACTTCGTGAAATATGATACAAAAATCTGAACATTTCATTATTTATTTGATTTTCTCTATCGTTAGGTATGCTGTGTGTTTATTTTGATTATTAACTAAAACGTGATGTTTTCTTTAATAAATAAATTATTTTCATAAGGCAAGATAGGTATATGA